TGAAAAATCTATCATAATGATAGATTTGCCATGGATGGCTAACTGTACACAAAATATAATTGAAAGTCTGATGACAGGTTTTCCCTTGGCGGCACTTATATGAGAGGCATGCCCCACGCACAATAAGTGAAACATGCCTCGACCCAAAGTGTCCAGCTATTCGTAGTATCTAAAACAGCTATATTGTTTTCGTGCTAAGATGTGAAATTTGCTATTTCATGCAATTATTTTAAGACATCCTTTTGTTTTGTGAACAATTAGCAAATTTTGAATTTATATATATCTTGAATCTGTCTATGTATTAAGATACTTTAAACAATAGGTGGTGTACACTAGAGACTGGACTCGAGTCAACTCGTAGCTTAAAAAACATAGTCTTAACTTGAATTAACTCGAGTCAAGACTATGTTTTTTAAGCTACGAGTTCAGTCTCTAGTGTACACATAGATGATCGCTAATTTGCTTTTGATAGCTGGTCACTCTTCCTCGAATTTTGGAATCTATACTGATTTGGTGTTATATATATATTGTTAGGGTTAGTACGTAATTATAGCTGATCGGGTTTTAATTTCAGACCACAGGTAGAACAATAAACCTTTTTCACAAGTATTCTTTCAAAAATAATTGGTGCGATATGCAACTTTTCCAAATATTTTCTTCATTATTGAAATTCTTTCCGTATTTCTTTCACATGTAATATAAAAGGTTGGAAAATGTTTAGAAGGTATTTAGAAAGATTGAAGGATTTTTGAAAGGATACTTATTAAAAAGGTTTATTGTTCTACCTGTCTACCATACCTGATCAGCTATAATTACCCTAACAATATATATAACACCGGATCAGATTCCAAAATTCGGCATATATTTCTTTAGCCAATCAAATTGATACAAAAAACATGTGATTATTTATTTGACCTAAATATAAAAAAGGAGTTCGCATTTAGATGAGATTTTTCAGACCAGTAATAAAGGTATATAACGAAAATTATTACACAATAAGTGATCAATTAGTGCTTTTAGTGACAGATAATAAATGCTATACATATATTTTTTTTTTAACAAAAGAGAAGTATGTCTAAAATTTTGCCCCATATTGACCCCGGAACTTTAGATTATATTATATATCATAAAGACTGTTGTAAGTGTTCTTGTTTAAAACGAGTGCTGTAAATGAAATTTTTACAAGAAATCCCATTTGGAAAGACTCAAATAAGTCCATCATTTTCATCTCTATTGTTAAAAAAAAAAAAAATTTTTAATAAATAACATCTTTTAATCAGCCGATGGATTTGGTGCGGCATATTCAGCATGGAAACGATTAGGAAATAACGCAACATATTATGCAGCACAACATAGTAAGCAACCGCCTTCAGATCTTCGAGACAAACGAATTGGAATATTTGATTTTAGTTACCCAAAAGCTACTATCAAAGAAATTGAAAAACAAGCAAAAATAACGGCAATTGTAGATCATCATAAATCCGCCAGAGATAATCTATTGAGTGGAGATGAGGATACAAAGAATTATTTCTTTGACATGGATAAAAGTGGTGCTAGGTTAGCATGGGAATTCTTTTGGCCAAATAAAGAGGTTCCGTTGTTGATTCGATATATTGAGGATAATGTATGCAAACTCAAAATAATCTAAAGATAATTATAAACCAACAATAATAAATGTACTATTATTTTTTTTTTTTAAGGATCTATGGAGATTTGCATTGCCAAAGTCTCGAGAGTTTTCTGCTTTTTGGGTAACCATTCCCTTTCAGTTTGAACTTTATGACCAATATGTTAAAGACGAGGTAAATAAGTTTCATATTTATACATATATTTTTTTGATATTAACAAGGCATTTGTTCTTGAAAATAGAGCTTGATTGAAAAAGCCATAGAATCTGGAACTATCATCCTTAATTACGTTCAGAATCGTGTTTCTTTTATACAAAATAAAGATATGTTTAAACGCAAAATGACTGTAAACATAATTGATGATGATAAAAAGCCTCAAACCAAAACCTATACCGTATTTGTTACGAATTCACCACTATGGCAATCTAATCTCGGAAATTCTTTGGCAAATATTGATGGTTCCGATTTCGGCATGGTATTTAGTTATGATGGAACCTTAAAACGGTATAACGTCAGCTTAAGAAGCACAGATAAACAAGCTGATGTTTCTCATGTTGCAAAAGCATTTGGCGGTGGTGGCCATAGGAATGCATCTGGATTTGTTTGGGATAAACCAATTGAAGATTTATTCGATCCTGAAAAACAATAAGTATTTTTATAACCAAGAAATATAACTAAATGGTTTATTTGAATATATTTGTTGTACTATTGATTGATTTGTCAATCTTTCGAATGAAATAAAAGACCTTTTTAGTGAAATTCAAAATCACATTTCTATACATTTATAGTTTATATATACATTAAAAGTTATCTTCATACTGTAAATTTTCAGAATTTGGCAAAGTTTTAGGCTTTCAGGTCTTAGTTTTGGACAGAGCATTAGAGTTTCAGTTTCGGTC